GTTAATTTGATCTGAAGAATCAAAAACATCAGACATAAGCCACTCTAAAGAATTCAAATCAAACTAAAGGAGATTCCCCTATTATTATTATACAAACACATGTACATGTACATCTACTTATAGTGACTTTTTTGCTTCATTTTAATTTTTTTTGCATTATTTTAGAGCTCAATTTTTTCTCTAGCATAACTAAAAAAGGGCTTCAATATGCTATAAAAATTAAAATATAAACTATAGTCAAGTTTGAAGTATACAAAGACACAATAATATGTAGCAAAAAATATTTTTTACATAATACAAATAGTCTACAAAAGCATTTTTTCAAATATAATCATCATTATCTGAAATATTTTTGTAGCTTCCTTTATCTTCTTGACTTAGAGCAATATCACTAACCACTCCTGTATCAACATAGCCTTCATTATCTTCATTATCTTGATCATTTTGATTCACATGACTAACATAGCTGTCATTATCTTGATCATCTTGATTCACTTGACTAACATAGCTGTAATTGTCTTGATCTTCTTGATTTCTTATAGCATCATCATTATCATTATCATTATTGTGAAGATTTTTTTTCTTTACTGCTGGTATTTCTTCATAATGGCCTGCAGGTATTTCATCATATATGTGAATAGCTGATGCTTTAATGTATGCTGGGTTAGACTGGGGAAGGAGAATGTTATCTTGGCTAATGTTGCTAAGATAAATCATATTGTTAGACATTGGGACAACTACATTATCTTCATAAACTATTAACCTAGGTAGTATTAGCTTAAGTATTTTATGTATAATATGAACTTACTTGTCTTTTTTGTCCTTTGGTCTCTTTTTTAAAATAAAAATGACAATTATCAATGGTATTGCTACAATCAACACTGTAATAATAACACTAGCTGCTATAGATCCTCCAACAATAGCTTCAATTGACGTAGAACCGGGAGTACTAGTGCTAGTGCTAGTAGGCCCAGTAGTAGTAGTAATTGCAGTAATAGTAGTAGTACTACTAGTAATAGTAGTACTACTACTAGTACTAGTAGTTCTAGTATATACTAGCGTCCATTCAGGGCCAGTGACACCATTTGGTGGAAACACTAAATTTCTTCCCACTCTGACCTGTATAGGTACACATAATGAGATTGTAGAGTATTAATGAAGAATATACTTACTCTTAGTACTAGTGTGGTACCTGATGGCTTGCCTGGTGGCCTACAGGTAATCTCCTATATATTATGAATTATATTATATATACATGCCTATACCGGAATGAAGAAATCACTTACAGTATTAGAGCTTGTTCTGACATTACACACATCGTTATCATTGTCTCCTAGTGTAATATTAATCTCTGAATCACGAACAGATCTTATGTTCATTCCCTGAAATACATAAAATAATTTTTTTATCATTACAGAACTTACTGTAATAGTAATAACTTTACTACCATCAACTGATATAGATCTTGAGTTAACATCAATACCAGTAAATATTGGATTAGGTTGCAGTGTTAGTCTCAGATCAGTATTCATGTAATTAGGTGACTCTGCTCCATCTAACATTAGCATGTATTCAATATGTGTCCCATAGTAACTGCTGTCTGTCACATTACTAATATTAGGAGCAATACAGACCAATGTAGCATCAGTATTAAAGACACAAGACTACAAAAGATACATAACTACATAAACAAGTACATTATACTAACCTCAATACTACTAGGAATCAATCTACTATCAGTAATAGTAATAGTAGGAGACTGAACTGAATTTAAATTAGCACCAGTGAATACTAGTTGAATGCCACCACTAAAAGAATAAGTGTGCAATGAAGAGTATGCAGTATTGTTATACCATGTACTTACGCTGGTATTATGTTCATAGGGCTGATACTATCAAAAGTAGGATCAGGTTTATAATGATAACTTATACTAGTATTAAAGAATGAAGCTCCATTGACTGATACTATTACATTCTTCATACAGTCACTAGCATTTACACTACCAGTAACACAATTGATCTCAGTATTAGTAATACTCCTATACACAATAATTATGTAATGATAATTATTTTAGTAATACTCCTATACACAATAATTATGTAATGATAATTATTTATTGGTTCTATACTTACATAATAGTACAGTTAACATCAGGACATGTGTTTCTCTTCTTTCTTGATGATGATTCTCTCAGTATTACTCTAGTCATTTCTTTATTACCAATATCAAAGTCAGTACCTTGTACTTTTATTCTAGTACCACCACTAAACAGGACCATATGTAGGACTGACTGATTGAATGATTGGTGTTATGAACTGGTACTG